AGTAAAAAAAAATTAATAAAAAACAAAAATTACAGTATATATACACATATTGGGATTTTTTTTTAGCAAAGATGTTGCAGAATACATTTTGGCCTAAATTTATGATGAAATTTGATTGAAGTCATAAATATAGTTTTTTCTCAAAATTGTCTGTCTTTGTTTATTTATAGCGCAAAAAATAAAAACTGCAAAGGTGATCAAATACCACTGAGAGAAAGCTCTATTTGTGGAAAGAAAAGGACGTAAATTTCATTTGGGTGCAGCATTGCATGACCGCGCATTTGTCAGTTAAAATAATGCAGCACCGTATCTCAAAAAATGGCCTGGTCAGGAAGGGGGGATAAATACTCTGGAGGGCAAGTGGTTAAAAAAAAATAAAAAAAGGACACATATCCACACATACAGAAACACAAACACACCATAAAGCATCTCCCGTAAACACCATTTCATAAATAATAATAGTAATTTCATAAATAATGCTCGAGGTGCAGTCGACAAGATCAAGGTTAATTCCATCACTGGCATTGGTCACCTGACCCACCAACTGCAGCCAGGCTCCACTATGGGAGCTACCAGTAGGTATTAGAAAGCTTTACCTATATCAAATCAGGCAGGTTTGTAAACGCCTCTGAAATGCAATCCATAGTGCATCACTTTTCAAAGGCAGCTTAGCATCAGCTGACAAAAATTCATGAGGAGATAGGCAGTCTTTTGAATACCTATTCTTTAAGCCAAAAGGGGATTTTATATTAAAATTGAACTGGACCAAAATGCAGCCGCATGCCTTAGAAGTGGTTGTGGTAGAATCACATTGACTTGTATGTGTCACGGTTAGTGGCACCTCCTACCAACAATGACATACTGTGTAAAATCTGCCACACAGCTGGTGTCCTAGTTTAAAGCAGACTTTTACCCATAACAACTTGATAAAAAATTATGTTCTTTTAGCAAGGAACATACATTCCACATTAATAATTATTCTACCAAAATGAGTGTGTCCTGTACATTGCCTCCAGCATTGTAGCTTGCTATGGGGGAACCCGAGCAGGCATGCTCTCAATCCACTGCTCCGTGTGTCCATTCGCACATGGAGCTGTGGCTCAGACCCATCCCTTCTGTCGTCTCATTGCCTCACTGGCTGTGATTGACAGCAGCAGGCGCCAATGGCTCCCGCTGCTATCATAGCCAATGAGGAGCCAGAGAACTAGGACAGCCGAGGTTCTCGTGCACATCACTGGATCGCTCAGGTGAGTATTAGGGGGGCTGGACACAGAAGGTTTTTTAACTTCATGCATAGAATACATGAAGGTATAAAACCTTGAGCCTTTACAACCACTTCAATTAATATAAAGAATAACACTGAACCTTGGTCAGGGCATATAACAAAGGCCCCAAAACATGTCATTTGTGGAGGACAGCATCCATCTTGGTTTATATTCTCTCCTATTGCTGTCCACGTTCCAGCATCTATTGGCATGACCTGGTGTTCCATGGAATGATTTGTCTTGGTGATATGTCCTGACCAGGTCACAGAATTGCAGGTTTATTCTTTTACGAATGAAAGTGGTTTTACCTGCAATGGCCGATGTTCTCCTTTCCTGCATGTTTATCTGGTCTGTGGATATACAGCTTGCAATGATGTTCAGGACTTCTTTGGCCTCAGTGAAGCTCAGGACATTTGAAGATTAGAGTGATTACTGGTTAGAACTCCTTTCCAGTTATCATCGCAGTCTGTGGGGTCAATTCACTAACAAATAAATACCACATTCATTTTTGCATTAAAGAAAACCAATGCAGTATTTATCTGAAAAATTGTTAAATCACTAAAAAAACATGAGTTATTTTTACTGAATGCATTACATATTTATGTTTTGCAATATTTTTTATCACTTAAATTTAGGCTGGGCTCACATATATGCGGTGCAGTAAATCGCATGTGATTCGCACAGGAACTGCACCGCATTTGCATTTGTGTGCAATACAGGGGCGGACTGACAACTCATGGGGCCCCCGGGCAATAGGGGATCATGGGGCCCCTGTGTCCTTGCTCAAACTCAAAAAAGCCTATGAAAAAGGTACCAGGGGCATCTCATGGGGCCCCCTACTGACCCCCGGCACCTCGGGAGGTGCCCGAGTTTCCAAATGGTCAGTCCGCCCCTGGTGCGGTGTGATTGGCACCATACATTTTGTATCGTTCTAATCGCACCGCACCAAAACCATACAGGACCTTTTTTTGGTCCGTACTAAAATCGGATTGCATGGGTATTCACACCTATGCGATCCAATTTTGCACATCGCACCATGTTTTGCGGACCACTTTAAGGGTGTTGTTAACTTAACATACACACCAGCAGCGGTTCGCATGAGCGAGGTTCGATTCTGATGCAGTGCAGAATTCACACTGAAAACGCTGCAAATTCCTCACCGCATCAGTGCGAACCAGGGCTGAGCGTTACTTTTGCAATTGTTTTTCCGCAATTTTCTCTTTTAGAAGATAACACTGCATCAGAGGAAAAAAATACATACACACAAATATTTTGAAACAGTGAAACCATTCTTGTGTGCTTTCATTCACATAGCCATCTTCCTCTGGTGAAATGTTACTATTCCCGATTTGCACACTGATACATTGTATACTTTTAATTGACTGTCTAGTGCAGAGTTCCCCTCATTGTTACTTTGTATTTTGACAAAATACCGACTGCCCGCTGGCAGGTAACAAATAACGAATGTTTTCTTTAGGACCTGTTCACATATAGGCGTTCTGAATCACGAACGAAATTGCCGTGATTCTGCTCACAATTTCAAAACGCACTGTTAAAGTTTCAAATTGCTTATCGACATGTTCAGGTGCTGCGATTCAAAACGCCTATATGTGAACAGAACCTTAGTGAAGTGACTCTAATGACATCTCTCTCTTTTTTTTGTATTTACCTCACATTTTTAACAAGTATGCTGTATTTACCTCCCATTTTTAACAAATGTGCAGTATTTACCTCATATTCGATATTTTACTTATTGACTCTTATTATCTCGTTATATTACTGAAAAAATGGGTCACGTGACCTTCATATCACATGCAGTAACCTTTAGTAAATTGTCCGCACTGGTGAAGTTCATTCTCTTTATTTTTGTGGTGACTAATGTCTCCAGGACTTGAAGCGATGAGAAATCCATAATTTGGAGTCACCAGAACAGAAACGGAGGGAAAATCTTCCAATGCAAACACTTGTTCTGGTGACACCCATCTAGGAGGAGGTTTACAGCACTCCATCAAAGATTCTTAGGACAGGAAGTGAAGGGTAATCTCCCCAATGGGACATAGATGGCAAACAAAAAACTGAGAGGGGGGTTTTAACCATTTTCTAAATGAAAAAGGCTTGCACTGGACATATGTTATTTACTTACAGGCCCCATCCATACCCACCTGGTTTGTAGCTCAATGCTCCAAAACGCTCAACATTCAAAATCCCATGCTTTTGCCTGGTCATTGCTTGAAAAATTAGCTTCTTTTGAGCTACAAGCTTCATGCTTCGTGTTTTTGGCTCCAATAGACATCAATAGGAGCTTATTGTGCATTTTTCCCTCTAGTAACTAGCTTTCCATTGGCTAAAAATAATTAAAATAAGGTACTCTGAAGCAAAATTCTTGTACAAAACCAACAAAAAGTTTGTATAAATGACCAAAGACGCACAGCTCATGAAAGAGCAGCCCAGTGAAGATCCAAAAACTTCTCATACATCCAGTTAATTAAAACCACTTTCTAAATATTATTGCCACCTAGATAAATTATTATTCAGCTGACCGGTAACAGACCTCCTATGATGCTGAACCCTGATCCACTCACAGGACCTGTCAAAGATGGTGCTACATTAGTAAGTTTCAATAGCTTGATCTTACCACTAACAATGACAACAGAAATCAGTCTGTAAAACAGAGGGAACAAATGGTGTACGTAGAGGTATCATTTGACCACACAAACCTGGAGCACTGCTAGGGTGATCACTAATGCAGGATACTTGTGTGGTTTATACAATAAGTAGATGTTTATTGACTGAACTATCACTATTCTTAGGGCTGGAACACGCGGCCCTACTCACACCGGAACATGTGTATTTGAAATGCAGGTTCCAGTGCTTTCCAGGTTTGCAGCCTATTCATTTGAATGGACTTAACAACCACACTGGAATGTGGAAAAATAAGTGCAAGCACTGCACCAAACCACAGGGTATTGTGGTACCATGCAATCGGGTTCTCGTAAATGCGCTACGTTTGCAAGATGCGTTTCGGGTGCCAATAACAATTAATTGTGTGGGAAACATGCACAGATTGTACCTTTCACACACCACATTTTAGGGTGAACCGGTCCTTAAAGTGGTTGTAAAAGGTACAATTGACCCTCACTCTTAGATTGTAAGCTCCAAGGATCAGGCCCTCCTAACCCTCTTGTATTGAACTGTATTGTTGCTGTATTGCCTCCCGTTATATTGTAAAGCGCTGAGCAAACTGTTGGCGCTATATAAATCCTGTATAATAATAATAATTGTCATACTTACCTGCTCTGTGCAATGGTTTTGCACAGAGTAGCCCCAATCCTTCTCTTCTGATGTCCCCTGCTGTCACTCCTGGCTCCTCTGCCCTTCTGAGTGCCCCCATAGCAATCTGTTTGCTATAGGGGCACTCATTTGGGCTTGATCCTGAGCTGGAAAGTGTGCATATATTGACACACACACAGCGTGGCTCAGACCCACCTTCTGCTCCATCCTAACTGGATTTGATTGACAGTAGCAGGAGCCAATTACTCCTGCTGCCACCATCAAGTCCAGTTAGAAGACAGCAGCACTGCTGCTCTTGGGCACAGTACTGGATCGAGATAGGGCTCCGATAAGTATTTACGGGGGCTGGGGGGAAAACGGATCACAGCGGGTTTTTTTTCCTTTATTGCAAAGAATGCATTAAAGAAAAAAAAGTCTGCCTTTACAACCGCTTTAAAGCCTAGGTTAACCCCTTGGTGCCACCCGGCCCTTTAAGGGTTCCAGAAGCCGGGAGGCGGGAAGGTTTTAGGGTGATATGATGACCGCCGTGATTCGCTGTCATGGCAGTCACATGATCGGGAAAGGTCCCGATCAAAAGAGATCGGGACCTTTCCGTGAGTACCGAACGTGTGTGATGGCAGAAAGCAGGGCGCGCGCTCTCAGCACACTTTTTTTTAACAGAACGCAAATGTGCGGTCGCTCGGCGTCTAGGCCCAGACGCTGGAAGGCTGCACATTTGCGTTCGGCTGGCGCCAAGAGGTTAAGTAATAATAAATAAGCAAACACAAATAACATAACTCATAATCAATATAATGTGTCCCTTATACTGCTGTGTCCTGATTTAGAAGCTGTGCTATAGTTTCTATTAGTGATGGGTCGAACACCCCTCTTTTTCAGTTCATGGTCAAACATTCAAACATACCGAAAGTTCGACCGCAAACTTCAAACAGAGGAGACAATTCACTAAGGAGTATCTTACCGCAACCGAGTATGCAGTAAGATACCGCACAGCTACTAAACACATTCTTTATTGTTTCAGCTGTCAGCAGAGTTCACCGCTGACAGCTGAATGGAAAAAGAATTGCTGGCATTGCCCGGAAATTAAAAAAAAACACAACACAGTTGTTCCCCCCATCCATACCAAGCCCTTTGGGTCTGGTATGGATTTTGAGGGGGAACCCCATGCCAAAATTAAAAAAAATGGTATGGGGGTCTCCACAAAATCCATACCAGACTCTTATCCGAGCATGAAGCCTGGCAGGTCAGGTAAGGGGGAGGGATGAGCGATCCGAGCCCCCCCTGAACATGGGAGGCTTTGGGGCAGGAGGGGGATCCCCCCCCAAAGAACCTTGTCCCCATGTTGATGGGGACAAGGGCCTCTCCCCCACAACTGTGACTGGTGGTTGTGGGGGTCTGAGAGCAGGGGTCTTATCAGAATCTGGAAGCCCTCTTTAATAAGGGGGCCCCAGTTCCCAGCCCCTCCGCCATATGAATGAGCATGGGGTACATAGTACCGCTACCCATTCACACACACACAAAAAAAAAAAAAAAAAAGAAGTGTAGTGGAAAAATGACAGGAGACAGTCTTTGACAAGTGCTCTATTAAAAACTAAAAATTTCAAAAATGTCCCCAAAGTAGATCCAACGTCAATCACGATGCCCGCAACCACCGCCGATCCGAAAAAAAAAACAAATGCTCCGCTCTTAACGCTGGCTCTCTCTGTCTGACAGCTGTGCCGGGATGTTCCTAAATAATGTGTGACGTCATAATGTGCTGTGAATTGGCCAAAACATTGCACCTGACCTGTGGTCAGGTGCATTGCTTTGGCCAATCACAATGCACTGTCAGGGAGCAGTGCATAGTGGGGTGCAGCGGGTGAACAGCCCATTGAACGCCCTTGCTGTTTGCCGAACACACGAATGGCCGTTGTTCGAGTCGAACTAATATTCGACTTGAACTAATATTCGACTCGAATATACAGCCCATCCCTAGTTTCTATAAATGAAACATGATCTCTGAATGGAGGAAGCAGGGCTATCCATTATCTGCCTCTTCTCCATTCATAGAAGCTGTAGTATGGCTTTAAAAGAATGCAGGAGCAGGGTGGCACAATTTGCTTGTGCTTTTTTTTTTTTGACCTTCTTCTCACCTCCTGCTTCAAGTAGGGTTTGCATTCCTATAGACTTGTATGATAATGCAAAAAGTTAAAGGGTCAGGTGCAACATACATCTGTCATCAGTGAGCCTGGACAAATTAAATGACAGGCAGAGACTTTGTACACATATAGGGCTCATTCACACAGGCCCTTACAACCAAATCTGGGCATATTCCCCTGCCCAGGTGCTGTGTACAGCCAGTACTTATATAACCACTAATGAAATACACCTGTATGCTATATGAGCATGTACCTGAATACAGCCAAGCAAAGACATTCATGTCTATGAGCAGATGAATGTAACAACTGGGCTTCCCGAGTGGGGTGAATACAGCAGAACACACATTGCTCTGCCTCATGTACACAAATATAGTGGATGTGAATCCGAGTGGCTACAAGTGTACAGGGCCATATATGCCTTCCCTAATGCAGACAGCATGTAGATGGACTTGCGTTTAGATGCATACAACCAACTGCCATCAATTTGTAGAGACCATATACAACCATATCATGTGCTATACGGCCATTTGTGGTCATGTGCGCAAAGCCTGCTTAGTCAATGCTAAGTTCCTCTTTACCTAAAGAGAAAATCAACATGATTTACTGAACAGAGGCTGTGTTCTCAAACGGCTAGCTATACATATATGTATATATACTGTGTATGTATATTTATATCATTTATATATATTTTTTCCCCTTCTTCATAGACACACATTACACACACACACACACAAAATAAATAAAACTAGACATTGAATATGTCAGAGATGACAGTGAGGATATGATCAATGGCAGTCGATGGTCATCACTTACACCAGAGCAAATCCCATGACATAGAAGCTGCATCCTTTTTATTACCCAATCACCTTCTCTCCAATGATCACCTTCTCCCCAATGACCACCTTCTCTCCAATGATCACCTTTCTCCAATGATCACCTTCTCTCTTCTCCCCAATGACCACCTTCTCCCATTCTCCCCAATGATCACCTTCTCCCCATTCCCCAATGATCACCTTCTCTCATTCTCCCCAATGATCACCTTCTCCCATTCTCCCCAATGATCACCTTCTCCATTCTCCCCAATGATCACCTTCTCTCCATTCTCCCCAATGACCACCTTCTCTCCATTCTCCCCAATGATCACTTCCCCCCCCAATGACCACCTTCTCCATTTTCCCCCAATGATCACTTCCCCCCCCAATGACCACCTTCTCTCCATTCTCCCCAATGATCACTTCCCCCCCCCAATGACCACCTTCTCTCCATTCTCCCCAATGATCACTTCCCCCCCAATGACCACCTTCTCTCCATTCTCCCCAATGATCACTTCCCCCCCAATGACCACCTTCTCTCCATTCTCCCCAATGATCACTACCCCCCCCCAATGACCACCTTCTCTCTATTCTCCCCAATGATCACTTCCCCCCAATGACCACCTTCTCTCCATTCTCCCCAATGATCACTACCCCCCAATGATCAACCCTTCTCCCCATTCTCCCCAATGATCACTACCCCCAATGATCACCTTCTCCCCATTCTCCCCAATGATCACCTTCTCCCCATGAACCCCTTCTCCCCAATGATCACCTTCTGCCCAATGATCACCTTCTCTCCATTCTCCCCAATGATCACCTTCTCTCCATTCTCCCCAATGATCACCTTCTGCCCAATGATCATCTTCTCTCCATTCTCCCCAAAGATCACCTTCTGCCCAATGATCACCTTCTCTCCATTCTCCCCAATGATCACCTTCTGCCCAATGATCACCTTCTCTCCATTCTCCCCAATGATCACCTCTGCCCAATGATCACCTTCTCTCCATTCTCCCCCAATGATCACCTTCTCTCCATTCTCCCCAATGATCACCTTCTGCCCAATGATCACCTTCTCTCCATTCTCCCCAATGATCACCTTCTGCCCAATGATCACCTTCTCTCCATTCTCCCAATGATCACCTTCTGCCCAATGATCACCTTCTCCCCAATGATCACTACCCCCCAATGATCACCTTCCTTCTCCCCAATGATCACCTTCTCCCCATGAACCCCCTTCTCCCCAATGATCACCTTCTGCCCAATGATCACCTTCTCTCCATTCTCCCCAATGATCACCTTCTCTCCATTCTCCCAATGATCACCTTCTGCCCAATGATCATCTTCTCTCCATTCTCCCCAAATGATCACCTTCTGCCCAATGATCACCTTCTCTCCATTCTCCCCAATGATCACCTTCTGCCCAATGATCACCTTCTCTCCATTCTCCCAATGATCACCTTCTCTCCATTCTCCCCAATGATCCCACCCTTCTCTCCATTCTCCCAATGATCACCTTCTCCCAATTCTCTCCATTCTGCCCAATGATCACCTTCTCTCCATTCTGCCCAATGATCACCTTCTCTCCATTCTGCCCAATGATCACCTTCTCTCCATTCTGCCCAATGATCACCTTCTCTCCATTCTCCCAATGATCACCTTCTCTCCATTCTCCCAATGATCACCTTCTCTCCATTCTGCCCAATGATCACCTTCTCTCCATTCTGCCCAATGATCACCTTCTCTCCATTCTGCCCAATGATCACCTTCTCTCCATTCTGCCCAATGATCACCTTCTCTCCATTCTCCCAATGATCACCTTCTCTCCATTCTGCCCAATGATCACCTTCTCTCCATTCTGCCCAATGATCACCTTCTCTCCATTCCCCCATTCTGCCCAATGATCACCTTCTCCCCATTCTCCCCAATGATCACCTTCTCCCCATTCTCCCCAATGATCACCTTCTCCCCATTCTCCCCAATGATCACCTTCTCCCCCCCATTCTCCCCCAATAAATCACCTTCTCCTGAATGATCCCCTTCTCTCCATTCTCCCCAATAATCACCTTCTCCTGAATGATCCCCTTCTCTCCATTCTCCCCAATAATCACCTTCTCCCCAATGATCCCCTTCTCTCCATTCTCCCCAATGACCACCTTCTCTCCATTCTCCCCAATGACCACCTTCTCTCCATTCTCCTCTATGGACAGTGATCTGCACCTGTTTCCTCTGGTGAATGGCCACTGATCTGCTCCATTCACTCACCTTTATTGGCCACTTCCCAGGCCACCTCGAACAGGACGGCATTGTCGAGGTCCAGGTCATCGTCCCAGTCCTCCAGCCCGGTGAGGGAGGTGACTGACAGGCTGCGAGCCAGGGGCATCCTGCAGGCTGCTAATGGATGGTGCGACAAAGGGTTAAAGCAAGGCTGAGTGTCCTTGAAGTGTCAGCTCCTGTGCAGCCCTCCCCCTCCTCCTCTTCCAGCAGCACTGCGGACCCCCGCACCACTGACAGAGGAACTGCTACAATGTAACTAACCAGTCCTCGAGAGGGGCGGGGCCACCATCGCATCACACACACCCCCCTCTGCCCACAACCAACATGGACCCGCAATATCAAATGATAAGCGGTTATTTCTTGTAAGTCTTGTCGCTGATTGGAGGGTGGAAACACATGTATTTACAGAGGGGAGTTGATTGGAGTAGAGGATCTCCGGCAGAGGGTGGGTTGGGTATGGTGCTCCGTCTGTGGTGGAGAGGGCTGATTGGCTGAAGGTGTGTCAGTCAATAAGATGG